GCAATGGACACGCGATAGGCACATGACTATCTTTTTTGTTTGAAAATTAAGGTGCCGTTTGGTAACACTTTTACGTTTTCTGTTTTCTGTTTATGTTTACAAAAATTTAAAAAAATCAAATAAAAACTTGTTTGGTAAAATTTTTAATTTATAAATCAGTGATCTCAGTTTATAAATTTGGCCAAAAAATAAAAACACAAAAAATGTGTTTCCGTTTTGATTAAAAAGAAAAACAATAACACGTACACCTTAAGAAAATTTTAACTCTATAATAAATAATTATCCCACTTCCCAATAAATGATAATTTCCCCTATACTTAAATACAAGGGTAAATTACAAACCTACACTTTGAGTTTTTTTAAAATACGATTTGTCACATGTTATTCTAAAAATTATATCTCGTTCTTTGAAGTTTTTGATTTCATAATTGTTGGCGTTTTGGTTTTCGAAGGTTATTATTGTAATTGCGAGCGTGCCAGCAAGGATTAATTAGTCCTTACAGAAATTTAATTGCCAACCAATTATCAGACGATTGTGTTTTAGTTCTCTCAGCCTCAATGAAGAGGACTTTTACTGGTGGCTTGATTTAGGAGAATTACGCAAAATATCAATCAAATGAAGAGCAATTGAAACATTTCATTAAAATGAAAAACTTACAATGATTCAAACTCAGGCTCGTAGAGGTTTACAGCGACAATCTACTTGAAACTACTCCTATAAATGAAGTGCAGTGCAGAATTTAAAGTACTGGAATGTAAAGAACAGGAAATGTAAAACTAAGTAAAGTTGAATAAGACTGGTTTTTTGGGTCTGAGTCTGGGGCCCTTTTTCTGGGGCCTTCTCTACTATTTATACTGCTCAAGGATGACCATCGAACTGTATTTCCAACCGTTGAACTGCTCTTCCATGATTGCTGATCATGTTGCCTCAAGATTAGCTCCATTACGCCATCACTTGCAGTTAGGCTTCCCTCCTAAATTTGAATTTAAATGTGAGTAACCGTTGATGCCACATCACCTTGTATCTCTTTGTTGATCCACTGCTACTCAGATCTCGTAACAACCAATACTAACTGTCACGTGTACGATCAGGATCAAAGATTTGAATAGTCTTCCTGTACTACCCTTACTTCGCCACGCGTCGAATTGTAACTGGCTTGTACAAAATATGTAGCCAACATTACCCCCCGCACTAATATACCCAATACTTGGTGATATTAGTGGATCAAGGTCTTTTTCCCACGTCTTAGAACGTGGATGGGTCTTGCATTCTCCCAGAAATGCAACTGTCATTCATCATCTGCACTAAATTCTCCTTCAATCTTTTGAATAACCCCACTACCTTAGTATTCGAACAGACTGATACATTTTTTATGGCCAAATCAATTTTTCCCTCCATTGATCGAGCACATGGAGAGTCATATGATGATGCTGTTCTTCCTCGAAAGAACCTCCATGCGTTAATTAGCCACCTTTACCCACCTTTCTATATTCAGGTCATGGATGCCTTTGCAAATTATCAACCCTTGGACTTCGAACATATTGCCCTTAATCCTTCGATTCAGAAACTCACAAATATGGACATGGGAAGTTGTTCTTCTGACTCACCCTCGGACTACAAACAAACTGCTCTCAATCCTTTGATTCATAAAGTTACAAATATGGACATGGGAAGTTCTTCTTCACAACCCTCTGTATGGGACAAGGCTACGACTTCTTCCTCTTCTGGGGCTTCTGACTGGACAAGTGGTCAAAACCTGAGGCCTGTGATTTGAGGGAACAAATAAACCATCACTTTGTCGAATTTACTGATCCTTTAGAGTCCCTTCTTATGCGCGAAGCTCGGTGGTCTATCCCTACGTGCCCATTGACCATCGACGCAGTTTGGAGGAGAATCTGCTTGTGGCATAGTATACATCCTCCATACCTACAAAGATAGTGCACACCGCCTGGCGCCTAAAAGAGGCACAAGGGTACAATCCATCATTCTTAGCCCAGAAGGCGAAGATTTGTTCTTCTAACTAGCTAGATTATATTAATGCCCTTGTTCCTTCTGCCCTTATTCCATCTCCTGAAATAGAAGCATCCACACCTTCCCCTTTGCCAAATCCTTACTGGATAGAGAGATTGAGGCTTGCCCTCTCCGCAGATAAGATCTTTCCACCTTACAAGCCTCCACCTTCCCCTACTCCAGCTCAGTAGAAGCAAGCTAAACTTCTGCTCGCGGCTTTGTCTCACTTGCCCTTCAATGTTCTTGAGGACGATGTCCCTCTCAAGAACCTTCGATGGGCTTGTGATATTCTGACTCGAGGTCATGTCTTCAATCCCCTTGCCCAAGCAGAGCTTCACATGTTTTTGGACCAACTTTCATTGCTCCTCTACTGGCATCGGACCTCTATGGCCACTGCATAATCTTTAGACCAACTTTTGTCCCTTCAAGTTCATGCCCAGTACGAAGTAGAGAACTTCATTGAAGAATTCGATGATTTCAAGAATAAACATTCTGCGTACTGGGATAACTTAGAGATAGACGAATTGGAACAAGGATTGAGAGAAACAACATTCGAAAAAAAGGCTGAAGAGCTCTTTTACGAAATAAGAGCACATCAACTCATGCAGCCAATGTTAGAAGAAATAGAGGATAGAATAAAGAAAGGACAGAAATTCATTGATCATTGTTGGACTAAATTTCATGATCTTGTTATTTATTCCATTCCCTATTTTTATGAGCTTGAGTTTGTACCCAAATAGGGCCATTCGATGTAATTGCTTTGGTTTTAATACTACTAAGACTTTTTCTTTGTTTGGTATGGTTTGATCTTATCTCCATTTGTCTTTAAAAGCAAATTCAGAGCTTCGAACTGAACAAGCTTATCCTTCGAATTTGGACTCGATCGTTTTAAATGAAACACTAAAAGAACCAACAATGAACCTGTCCAATTTATGGAATATAGTTAACAATTTTTGTTGATTTTCATTTAAAATTGGTGCTTCAAATCTAACAATCTTACCCCTTAAAGCTTGTTTCGATCATAACCAACATATGGTCATGGTCAGTATGATTAATCAGTTTTAAATTTATCATTTTTTCCTTAGAATAACAGTCCATACTTTCAAAAATATGAAAGCTCCT